GTCATGGATCGCCGACGGGCCCGAAACCAAGAACGACTATGCTGGCGAGGGCGAGCAACAATTTACTGGACTGGACAGTCAGTCAGTTGAGAGTCTACAGTTGGAACAGTGGGTTAGTTGTGAGACAGTCGGCAGCCGGTAAGAATGTGACACGGATGCAGAGCACATTGTTGGGATCCGTCAAAAGGCAACGACTGGTGAAGACATAGCGAACTGAGAAGACTTTGCATGTGCTGTAGTTACAGTGATCTTTGGAGTGCGTAACTCAGTGAAACTGCCGTCGTTATTTCTAGTTACATTTTGTAAGTGTTTAGTAAATCCGATCAACAGTCCAAACCCTGTCACTAATCACTCTTAAACTCATAACTAGGACAGTCTCACTGAGTTACACACGCCAAAGACCACCGTGACTACAGGACACATAAAGTCTCCTCAGTCTTCACTAGCCGTTCCTTGGTAGCGGCTTCCAACGGCGGAACAGCTTGCAGTCAAAGTCAGAGTTACGTTATGACCGACGGTCAGTCGGTCAGTCTGTCTTGGTGTCAAACCCAAGACGAGAATTTTATTATTGTGGATTGGTGTGGGGCACCCTCTCTGACAAGAGCTGTCGTTTACAATTGCTGCTGGTCCTCGCCAGTGCAGTCATTCTCTGTTTCGAGTCCCGCCCAGACTCATGACCACATTTTACTGTCTCAAATTCGAAACTCCCAAACCTGGAGGGCCAGATTTCCATATTTGTACCCCACCCCCAAAGCGGGTTGGCTTACCCAGTAAGCCTTGGCTGTTATCTAGGTTACCGTGCCAGGTATATCACGTACATACCCTGTATTCTTACGCGGCTTCGAGACTTCTGTGTTCGAATTGTCAAATCTTCCCCTAACCTGCAATATTTCTTACTCATTTCCACGAATCCAAACTGTGTCTTGGTTCTGAAGCATTCGGACGTTACCGCTGATCGTTGTTCATTGAAGTCCTGAATTATATAGGTCATGTTAATCTCTCTGGAGCCCAAATCGATTGTCGACTGTTCTGAACATTTCATCGTAGATAAGAGGTGAAAGGAGCGCCACTTTACATAATATAATCAATAAAGATCATTATTCATGTAACAAGCTGAACACACCCCACTTCCTTTCTTTCTTTCTTTCTTTCTTTCTTTCTTTTTAAACTCTCCCCCCCTCAACAGCCCGTCTCTTCATTCGACTTTTGACACTGGAGCAGATGAGAAACAGCATCCTGTGAAGAAGCCTTGAAGTCCCGGAGACAGGGATGGCCAATTTGTGTGGCTTCCACGTGCGTTCCTTCCGCGCTGGCTGTTCCGGGCTGTTCTCAGCACATCACAGCTTCAGTTTACATTAAAGTACTCGCGCGACCGCATTTCAGATTCTAAGCCCCACCAGCCCCTCATATACGTATTATATGTTTACAGCATACAGGGCACTTTTATTTATCGCTCTGCGCATATCCTCGGCGGTGATACCGCCTTCCTGTCTGTAGTTTCCGTGGTTTTCCTTAGTGTCTCCAGCCGCTTCCTTACAGATCATTTCAAATTCATCAATCGTATCATTCGAAGCTACTTCTAGCGTCGTTAAATAAACTACAGAACAATAAGTTTTGTAAAGAAGTAATCGCCAGATTTCCTTTGATAAGACGCGGACCGCACAGAAAACTACACCTACAACAATTCTTCCTTACTGCGGTTACGTCTTTACCGAGTTGTTACCTATCAGCAGGCTCTCCTTTGATAAGACACGGCTCGCATGGAAAATGAGGCGTACCCAGAATTCTTATATTGTTGGGTGTATTCGTTGCAACGGGAACTTGTTTACCGAACCATTGCCTAGCACTGAAATGGGGGGATGCGCATATAGACACAGACTGATGGGAAGGATTTATGAAGTGTGCCGTTGAGATGAGCTCAGGTGCCATGATATACAAACCAAGTCTCATAAAGATTGGTTAGGGCATCCAGAGGTTGATAGTGGTGCAAACAGAGAGCATGAGACATCGAGGTCCCCACATTTTCTAGACAATCGGCTCACAGATGGCGGTGAGATTGTCAGCCTTACGTGCCGACCACCAGGAAGATTCCTGGTACTCATTTCTGTTAGAGGCTGAGTCGAACCCATGGCCATAGTGCGCCTTGAAGAATTAGGTCCATTGATAAATCCAATGACCTCATCGAGATTCGAACCCGCGAACTCCCGGCTTGTAGCATTGTGCCTCAACCAAGTACGCTACCGCGTGCTCCTGGCTGAGCGCCTCTGCTTATCTGAATGGAGCCTAAACACAAACACCGGCGCCATTTTGTTGGAAGCTAGAAGGTAATGTTGCCCCTGTGCTTAACTACGCTATGAAGGCGTATGGGGAAGTGGATGTATAGATCTACCTTCTTTTGAGCTCTGCACTAGTTGGTGAGTGGTCACCTTCACTTCCTGGCTGCTTTACCCCGAAATAAGAGCCCCTGATACCCATTAGATAGGAGTCTGTGTGGGTCCCAGAGTCAGTCTGTTCGACGTAGAGAAGGGAAAATTCTTGACCCTACCGGGACTCGAACTCCGACCCCTCTTTCTTCCAGCCCGTAGCCAGTCTCTCTTATATACGTAATATGTCAAGTATTTACTATGGTGTATATATCGCTAATGCAGCGGACACCGACAGTATTGGAACGTGTGAAAGCTGCCTTTTGGGCGAATACCGACGTTTCGCCTCCATCTTCAGGGTATATAACTCCGCAAGCGAGGAACCAGCGTGAGCGGCTGCAGCCACCTCCTCACGTTGGTTCCTCCCTCGCAGATTTTATACCCTGAAGATAGAGGCGATACGTTCCTACGAAACGTCGATTTACACGGCGCCACATCCCAGAAGACGACATTCTTCAGTCACCGTAGTGGAAACCTCAAATCTTATAAATAATGTTGTAATTTATGTAACAAAGAAGAGACTTCCAGCAGAATTGTCAACGGCCATTTCATGAAGATGTTGATGGAGGCTGCGCCTGAGGCTGTAGTGACGTCAGAGTGCTTGAGAACCCTGGGGTCTGGACATAGCGGGCGTGATGCATTTGTCTTCATTAATTCCTCACGCAAGTCTACCCGATGAATGGCCGGGGAACAACGTGAGACGAATCAATACCATTAGTGTAGGGTCACACGGCCTGGGATGTGCACATGGCGGTAGTCACTAGCGTGCAGACGTATTGATATAGAGGGCTATGCTTGCCGTAACAGCTGCAATTTCAGGGTTTCATGGCGACAATGATGCTGGCTGTGATACCGCGTAATCTCGAACTTGTATACCAGTGTTTCGGAGGAGCTTATTGGTTCCAGGTTCAGGGTAGGTTAAATAAAGCCGAAACTATACAAATTTAAAATTTTTTGTCTTTTATGATGTGTGGCTGTGTATTTTGTTAGCCTCGATGCCCAGGGTAGATGAAAAAGTGATTGGAGAACCTTGGTTCCCAGGATTAACGTTGAAAACAATGAAATTTGGATTTTTATTGCAATAAATGCACTTTGTGCATTGAATTGTGTGTGTCACCGTGTATTGTCATAGTCTCTCCGCCTTTCAAGAGGCATGTTTTCCTGTTCTCGCTTCCCATTGGCCAAAAAACAGGCTCCCTTTCCTAACCCACACTCCCTCGGATTCAGTTTCTATGTACCTTAAAGCCTGTCCCATAAACGAAGCTGTTCCTCGTCTTATATATTCAGTCTTAAGGATGGAGGCATTATACGCTTCCGAAATTTCGTTATCCACCTACAAAGCTGCAGGGTGACATGTACATATTTTCGGGAGGTAATGGGTTCGAATCTCGGCCGAGGCACCAGTTGTTATGGCTGACGATTTTCCTGGGTTTCCTCAGTATTTCCATGAAAATTCCGGGATGATACCTCGATTATACCATTGATGTTTCGTCCATTTTTTTCTAACCCACTTGACGCTTGTGTAGTGTAGACAAGAAGCCACAGAAACAGAAGACAGGACATCGCAGGCCACAAAGTCCGTGATGTGGATGTGAGGCCACACAGACACACACATGACATACTGCCTTGCTCCTACTAATTGTATAGTGTTATATGTACGTGTTGGTAAACAAGTTCCCGCTAAGACAGATTCTTGGTAAAGAGTCCGTTACTATGTCACGCAACAATAGAGGAAGCTGTGTCTTCTGTGTCCGCGGCTACTTCACAACAGTGGATAATGATCACATGTATTTTCTGTAGATCCGACCGACGCGCAAATAGGCTGGCTGGATAGCGATCACGTGATATGTGTTTACTATAGGTCCATGTCCGTCCCTCGGCTATATAAGTAAAGCAGTTACCGGTTACGAATAATAGCGACAGAAGCAAGGAGATAGCCACGGGAAGTTCGTATTGAAGAAGAACTGGAAGTCGGCCTCTGAAGACATTACGTGTGATTATAAGACTTTATTTATGTGTAATATTTGGAGTGTGTGATTCAGTGAGACTATTATCATTCCCATGTTATAAATCCGTGAAAACTAGTGCAGACAGACTGGAGAGATTAGTGTGGAGTGACTGTACATTGTGTAAAGCAGCAGTAGCGTAATAATTAATGGCAGTTAGGACCTGTAGGTTATTAATAAATCCAATTACCATTCCAAACCCGTTTCTTTAGTTACTGTGACACGTGACACTATATACAGAGGGGCCCAAAAGTTGTATACACGATTTAATAGAGGTTGCCTACGCACACAGCCACGAAGTTGAATCGAAATTTAATGTACGGTGTGTAGTGTGATGCTCTCGCAAAAGATGGTGCTAGTCACATGAAAGCCAGAGCCACCTAACCGAATGGCAGGACAGTAAAGGAAAAAGGCAGCGGAACGGTGTGTACGAATTCTTTGGGCCCCATGTTAACACGAGAGCCAATGAGGCATACAACGTGTCATGTATCTCGCATTTGGAACATAGAGGTGCATGTGCTGCATTCGAAGTACCTTCCCTACGCTAAAATCGGCGTGTCCTTTTTTGCAGGAGGAGCGAGTTCCTGGGTTGCATGTCCTTCGCTCTGAAACATGCAGTTAAAAAGGTGAGTTAAAGCATCTTACTAATGTCTCTTATAAACGTTCCTACCTCTTACATTGCCCCTTTTTCTCTCACATCCCTTCTAGTGAATTTTATTTATGTTCCATCATCATATTTCTTCCCCTTCCTTCCAGCTTCTCCTTTACGTTAAATTGGTTTAGGGAGGTACGGCTTAAACAAAGCAGTTTCAGGAAAAAACGATGGAATATATGGACCATATTACGTACTAAGTTATTTCAGTATATCACTCTCACTACAGATATAAAGTAAAACAATGTAACACCCGCTCCGGGTCAGTCGCAAGGAGTTCGGGAGAACTCCGTTGGAGGCGCCACTTGACTGCTTGCATGCGAAGTACATATGAAACGTGACATTTAATTCTGAACTTCTCTCGTTTACGTGCCGATATGAGAGACTGCCAGCTCGCGAATAGTAAGGCTGTAAACGTACACATGACCACAAAAACGCGTACACATGCGCGTGGACATTACTAATAGAGCCACTGTTATGTTTGCCGGACTGTTCGCTAGATGTCAGTGTGCATCCGGAGGGTAGCTACGACACTGGTTTTCGTCTCATGCAGTCAATCGATTTAAATTTATCAGAATTAAACCCCGTGCTATGAAAACTAAATTTATATTTCGCAACAAAAATTTCACCGTTTCAGTTCCAGTGTTAAAGTAAAAAATTCCGATCGTACGCAGCAGGTACCCTAACACTCTACCTTCTTCATTTCCCAAAGATTTACCCACCCTGTGAGCTATTTTCATCATAGTTACACCCCTTTTGTGTGAAGATCACCAAATTTATTTCTCCAAATTAAGCAACTCAACATGAACTTAGGAAATAAAAATTCCGCGGGTCCCTATAACATCTAAAACCCCCTTCGCTTTGGCACTGCCCTTCTCAGAAGGAAAAGCGGGCGAAGCCTGGGAACCTTCTCACAAAGTGGCATTCATTCTGCCCCGGAAATGTCTGTCTAATCTGTAACGACATTCCCTTCACACCCAGTGGACTCTTAAATGGTTTGCTTTGGTTAGTGACTAATATAGGTTTAATCTGGTGGTCGTTAAATGACGCTGCTCTCTGTCTACACTAATGATGTAGAATACTGGAAAATGTTCGTAAGGAAGCAGCCGTGGGGGTGTGCGTGACTTATGAAACGGGGTTTGGATTTGATGATCGAATTTATAGGACTTTTATACAACTTGTTAAAACATTTCGCAACTCACTATCCTCGACTGGACACACTCGACTTCTGACCACACTACACTAATCCCTCCCTCCCTCCCTCTCTGCTCTACAACTGAACTACTCTGAAGTCCTGGAGTCAGAGTCAGAGTCACTTTACGGCTGGCGGTTTACTGCCAATCAGTTCGTCTTGGCGACAAGCCCCTTGAGACTCACGACCAGAATTTTTATTTTCCATCTGAACACTTGCGGCTATAGCCCTTATGTAATATCCTCTCTGACGAGACGATGGACCTGTCGTTTACAAATGCTGCTGATCCTCGCCAGCGCAGTCATTCTCGGATCCGAGCCCTGCCGTACTCACGACCACATTTTACTGTCTCAGATTCGAGACTCCAACGACCTTGAGGTCTAGGTCTCTGTATTTATATCCCGCAGGAACTGGATGGCCCAGTTATAACCCCAGGCACTGGGTTCCCTTTTCGTCACTTCCTATGACTCGCAGGGCTGCGGTCATGAATTCCTGGAGCGAGAGTCACTCACTGTTATATATCCTCGGGTCTGACCTTACGGAAAACACGTCCTTTGCCAAACAATGGAAGTCTAGTGTTGTCACATACTGTTATAGGCTTTACCTAGCAGCTGGCTGTTTACCCATAATCTATCTCCGCGGGAAAGTTTTTACTGAGCCGTTCCTTAGCAATGGGCATATGCCTCACAATATCTTAGCATTAGCTCGGAGGGACTGAGGAAGGCCACAGAACCCCAGAATAACCGATGTCGCGGTCGAGATTCGAACAGAGAACCACCCAAATTCGCGTCTATGGAGTTATCATCACAGCAACTCGCTCGTGGGACCGCAAGTTTTGCGCAGAAGTCTCCTCTCTTAGTGTAAGTAACTGCCCTGGCTTTTGTGAGGTCTCCTAACTAGCACGCGCCTGCATTGGTAAGGCAGTCTGCAGGGCGCCCAGCAGGGCGGGCGGTCGGTCGATACCCAATCCACTGAAGCCCGAGTTTGCATCACATTCAGTCTGGGATCACGCTTTCGAACCCCGTGTCCATTATTTGTTCACGCCTTACGAGCCTTTTGTACGGATTCCTTGGAAACTGAGTCCTTCTTGTGAAGCGATCACTCACTCCATCTTCATGGTCGAAACTAAACCATCAAGCAGAGTAACCTGAACAAGGAGGCAATACCAGATTATACGGCGTAATATGGAGGGGATTCGCTGTGTCTCGTATCTGGGAAAGTTTAGGGTTGGGATCTCATCCAGGACAAAGTTTTTTTCGAAGTTCTTCCGGAAAATGCTTGGCACCGCTTGCTTCGAAACCCTTACCCACCAAATGAGGCTGTAACCGCGCGGCAATGCGGACACGAGATTAAGCAGTATTTCCAGGCAGAGCCACTGCGGACGGGATTATACAGTGGGTCCGTAACGCAGTAACGTTATGTGACGTCGCGTGTTTCTTCTCCTTCTTTATAGCCACAATTTGTCTGGAAGGTGCTTGCTGTCTCCATGTTCTACCCTAAATTTGGAGACGACAGGTTCTTCTGAAACGTCGGCCCCTGCCTTCACCCCTTCAAGCCCATAGCCTCTTCACTATATAGTGATCCTCTAGTAGCTTCCGTTATAAAATTACGTTGGATTTCGTCCATCGACGTTTCGGAAGCTGGATCTGCTACATATTTGAGTCCGTTAAGGAGATAGACTCGCTCACTGGGCTAGATTTTATACAGTGGGCTCGACTGAGTAGGATCCTACGGCATTTACAGTTTATCACGGAAGCAGATCGAACTACCGAAACGTCGCATAATTTAAAGATAATCGTGTAAATTGGGCCGTCAGCACAAAATGAAAATATCTTCAGGATGGAGACAAAATAGATGCTGCTATATCATTTTTATTTATTACGCCACATGTTTCGACCTTTTGTAGGTTCTCATTTGTCAAGTTACAACTAAAATAAAATAAGTTCTTGAACTGAATTTTTTTATATGGATCCATATTTTACAGTTTATTATTATTATTATTATTATTATTATTATTATTATTATTATAGCGAATTGGGGAATGCAAAAGCAATAATTACGCACAATCCTAGAGATGCGCGATTGTTCTCGAAAATAAAGAAAAATCATAATTAAAGCCCATTATATTAGGAATTTTATTATTTAGTTTTAACACATTTTTAATATACTGTGTCTTAAGATTGGTTCAAAATTTATTAAAAATTGTAATGGCTCTTTAAGTTAAATAACTCGTCGAAATATATTGTAACCCGTTATTTTCGTCACGCGTACCCCGCATACACGTTATTGACGGCGTAAGTTAATCAGTAAAGAAATTAGCATAAAATGAAGACACCAGCTTTTATACCGGGTTGGTTGGTATCAGCTCTCAGGATGAATATACGGCCACCATTTCGAGGCTCATTAATGAAGATATGACACCATTTAGTTTGGTACGCATGCACCAATTCCAAAGGTGCTGTGAAGTCGAAACAATTCACGGCCCAATCCATGGAGCATTCATTGTTATTATTAATGTAGTTAGTCGAGGCACTACGCTACAAGCCGGAAGGTCGCGGGTTCGATTCTTGATGAAGTCATTGCATTTTTCAATTGACCTAATCCTTCCGGCCGCACTGTGGCCCTGCGGTCGACTCAGTTTCTAGCAGAAATGAGCACCAAGAATCTTCCCGGTGAGTAACGGGCGGCCGGCGCGTGAGGCTGACAAACTCACTGCCATCTGTGACCCTATTGTCAAGAAAATGTGGGAGCCTCGATGTCTCACAACCCTATGGGCCTCCACGGCTTGTTAAAGGGAAAGCTTTGCCTTTATTATTATTATTATTATTATTNTATATGTTTTCCTGCGAGTACCCGCTGTTTTAATAAGGAACTTCTCCATTCATGCTGTAATCAGTAGTGCTGTCGACAAGTGTGCCCACAAAGGGAGCAGCATATGTCGATTTTTTAATTATTTTCACAAAGAATACTGTTTGCATGGAATATGCATTCCTTTTATGTAAGATCCCAGCAAATTGTATACTCTCTTCTGTTTCTCTGTCGCTCTGTTTGTACGTACTGTGTACTTTAAGAGCTTGTCTGTAATAGACCATTGTTTTTGGTAAGCTAATTAAATTATTATTATTATCATTATCGTCACTATTTCATCCACGCCACTCACCATACACGTTTTTGCAACCTCACCATCTCTCAGTTGTCCTGCACTTAGATATGTCCTCACTGTCTCCGACAAACCCTGCGACAGTCCTTAAATATGCCACCACCACTTCCTTCACGTTCGTTTCATCTCCCCCCCCTTTTCACCGTTACGTAAAAATGCAATTGGGCACTGGACCAGATATAAAGCAGACAAAATCATTGACTATACTGAGGCCAAGGAAAGAAGTTTCATGGCTCCCCCCCCCTCCATATTTCCCTCGACCCCTGATGCTTCCCCCTCCAGTGCACTTCACTGTGTTCCTCTCCCCTTGAATGTCGGCAACCAACAGTGAGGCGTTTCGGTTTCGGTGACGTAGGACAGATGGGCTGAGGGGAAATGAAGGCGAGGTAGATCCGAATGACGTCATACCTCCTACCTGTGGCACTTCTGTCTGTGGCCTCAGTATAGCACGTGGAGCCCTGAACTCAACGATATCCGAAGGGGGGGGGGGGGTGGACGCGTCTGAATGGCCATGTTTGTTTTGCGTGTTGCAGGATATCAGTGGAACCTTCCGGCTTCTGTCACAGAGCGCGGGTCGCACCCAACACGTGTCTGTGGACCCCACAGGGGGCCCAGGGTCCAAGCACTCTGTGATGGCGCGCCAGTCTGACTCGAGCGTGGAAGAGATTGTCTGCACACACGAGCCTGATGTGTCCCCTACACCAGGTAGGCCCGCCTCACTCTCTGGGTCTCAGACATCCTGAGCCACTTTAATCCTGTCCACACCCTTCCATCGGATCTCAGATCAGCCGGGCGCACGTCAGTAGAGCTCCGCTTTAGTGGCTGGCTGAGGCCATACTCACGAGGTTAGTCGACGGTTTCCCATCTCCTTGGGCCTGCCTCGATCCCAGGTGAGGGCTTAATGGATTTATACGGCCAAAGTGACACTTGGGCAGGTTTCTCCGAGCACAGTAAACCCTCGCTAATCCGGAGTAATTGGGGGAGAGTTCATCCGGGTTGAGCGATAATCCGGATTAGTGAAGCAAAATGTAGCCCTAAAAGACAAAATAAAATGGGAAATTCTATGATACACGTAATGCTGATGGAATGTATAAGCAATATAACACTGTAGAGCCTTTATTTAAAGACTAGAAGAAGACACATTTTATTCATCGATAGAAGACTCAGAAGTTGTACTTTTCTTTGGGGCGTAATAGTTCAGGTTTGAAGAAACTTGTCTCAAGTTTTGTTTGAACAGACAAGTGACTCATCTGCTTTCTTCATGTCATGTGTCGTTTAAAGTATGTACTCAACTGTGAACAGCATTTTTCATATATATATATATATATATTTAGATCCGGATTAACTGTAACCGGACTAGCTGTATTTATAGTGTACGCAACGGCCATCTGTGGCAGCAGAACCCCAAGTTGCAGCACCTCCAATAGTAAAGCCGACAATTAATTTGATACTCAGCCAGGTTAATTCATATCCCTTCATCGTTCCCCCCATCTCAATGTTATCCTCCCATCTTCTTCTTTGTTTTCCAAGTGAATATTTTCCTGCACCAAATCCTGCATGAGTATGTAGAGCTGTGTTTAAGGTTCCATGAGCGGTGACCATGACGAGTACTGTGTCCTTGGACACACCATGTAGATCAGAAGATGACCGACGTTTTGGGAGACAAAGAATAAGCCAGGCAACAACATTCAATATATAGGCAGTATGAACAGTGCTGTTTTTGGTGTTTGATTGGCTTACCCTTCAACCTTGAAATTGGATGCAGTATATTCCTCCGAAATGTCGCTAATCTTGTACGAGATCACTGTCAAATCCCATATCTTTTTTTGTTTCCCAGAACTTAGTGATTTCCTAATTCATGAACATTTGTTTTTGAAGTGTTGCCTTTTGGAATATAGCGCCTTGTAGTTCGTTGAAAGTCAACCGACGTTACCGAGCAACGTGTCTCCCCCTTCAGGTTCTAATAAGCCGATCAAGAAACCAGCGTGAAAGCAGGCGTTCAGTTGTCTTTTCAAAGGATTGAACTGCCTTGCACCCCAGAAGACAGACCTTCATAACCACCGATGTGAAAACCTCAAATCCTACAATTTTTTGTTGTTGTTTTATGCTAAGCACTTCAATTCCGGAACTTTCTGGAATGAGCTGTCGCTTTTATAGTTATGAATCTTATTGCGTCACGTGCGTACTAATGGCATAACCCCGCCCACATTTGTTTCTGCACCAGTTTGTCTAATTCTCTAACTTCTTGGAACAGAATCCTTAGTAGTCGCTCAGCTACTTAATAATTCTCCTGTATGATACTGTCACGTTTAGGAGTGACTTACAAGACGGGGTTTTCGATTGGATTTATTGCACCTTTATGCTACAAACCGGAAGGTCGCGGGATCGAATCCCGATGAGGTGGATTTTTTCAATTTTCTGTGTGGTCCGTGCCGAGGGGCTATACAAGGGTACAGTCAGAAGATACGACTGAGTAGAGAACAGCAGTTGAGAGTAGCTGAGTCCGGTCTTCGGAATTGGCAGCAGCCAATTTGCAGCTGTGCAAATAAAACTTCATGTGTGATTTGATGTGACAGTGAGACTGTTATAAATCCGTTGCCAGGATGCGACTGGTGGAGGCCGAGAACCCCAGTGCTTGTGTAACGGTAAACTGGAAATAGTGTAGAATAGCGGTAGTGCTGTATTGCCTGTAGTCCCGAACTGGGTGAATGTAAAGATAGAAGTAAAAATAAGGCTATCCCTGTAACAGGCCGTGGAGGCCCACAGGTTTGTGAGACGTCAACGCTCCCATATTTTCTAGACAGTCGGCTCACAGATGGCGGTAAGGTTTTCAGCCATAGGCGCCGGCCGCCCTTTACCCCCAGGATGATTCCTGGTACTCATTTCTGTTAGAGACTGAATCGACCCCAGGGCCATAGTGCGGCTGGAAGAATTAGGTAAACTGGAAAATCCAATGACCTCATGGGGAATTGAACGCACAATCTTCCGGGTTGTAGCATCAACCAACTACACTACCGCGGGAATTACAATATACAAAACTATAAATTTGTCTGTTGTTCTGTATGGATGGGAAACTTAGTCTCTGACATTAAGGGAGGAACATAGACTGAGGGTGTTTGAGAACGGGGTGTTGAGGAGAATATTTGGACCGAAGAGGGATGAAGTGACAGGAGGTTGGAGAAAACTCCATAATGAGGAGCTTCATAACTTGTACTCTTCTCCAAGTATAATTAGAATGATCAAGTCAAGGAGGATGAGATGGGCAGGTCAGGTAGTATGGATGGGGAGAAGAGGAATGCATATAGGATATTGGTGGGAAAGCTAGAAGGAAAGAGACTGCTAGGAAGACCAAGACTAGGTTAGTGGATAATATTAAAATGGGTCTTAGATAACATCGGGTGGTATTGGTCTGGACCGATGTGGCTCAGGATAGGGACCAGTGGAGGGCTCTTGTGAACACGGTAATGAACCTTCAGGTTCCATAAAATGCTGTGAAGTTTTTGAGTAGCTGCACAACTGGCGGCTTCTTAAGAAGGGTTCAGCTCGATGTAATTAGTTAGCTTGTGTGATTATGTGACCAGCAAATGTGCTATTTTCTTACTCTGCGTGATGTTATTCGGAAGTAGCAACCATTTTGATCCTCTGCTTTGCTTTCTTCTCAGCAGCAATGGAACAGAGGAAGAACAGTACGAAGAAGAGACTGGAACGAACAGGTTCGTGTATGACGCCGTTTTTTATGGTAACATAGACACTGGTATTTCAGGAGGACAGTTGGGATTGTGTTTTTATGCTTGGTGACACTGTGCAATTTTCTAAATGTATACTGAAGTAGGATGAAGAATTGCCTTTTGGTTTTCCCTCCAAATTCAGCTTTGCTGCCATTTAAAATATTTCTTCAGGAGCTAAATTTACAGCAAACTCCTTGTGTCAGCATTGCTTTTAATCATTCTGTATATTACATTGTACCCCCAAACACTGTTTCTCAACACGACATTGTAAAATATTGTCGGGGTTTCCATGGACTATAATTTTAAAATCGGAAGCAACAAAACAAAACTGCTTACGGAATATGAAAGTGTAACTCAAATACTTTTATAGAATGAATGCTGCAGAATGCTAAGCAACTTCAACATGCGCGCCTTTCGTGGCACGGAAGGTGTCCGAGATTGGATCAACATCTTCCTGCACCCTTTTCGGTACAGAACACTACCAGTCACTGGAAATTGCTTTAACCAGCGTCTGGTAGCATTAACTGGAGGTGGGTCTTTTCCATATCGAGTTTTGTAGCGACGTTGCGTTTTCATAACGGACTTCGTTCCGAAAAACCGAAGTACGCACATTGCTTTCTCTTGAACAGTCGCCATTTTGAGTTATGACGTCATATTTTCTCCCAGATGTCAATGCGGCGAGTACAGTGTTGCCAGAAAAGAACTTTCTGAGTTACGCTGTCATATTCCGTAAGCAGTTTTAGTTAGTTCCTTTCGGTTTGAAAAACGTAGGCCACGGAAACCCCGACATTAATTCAAAATCACCTTGTACTTTCTCTATCAGAAACAGGAAATGACGACAGCAGTTTCCTCCGACACCTGGAACTGGAACCTACTGGAGACAGCGGCCCTGGGCGAGTGTTAGGTCCAGCTGTGGGGCCCAAGCGAGGGCGCACCCCCTTCACAACAACAAGGCGCCTTACCCGACATGGGAACTCAGGTTTCGGCTTCTCAATCGCGTGGACTCAGCCTCCGAGGTGTGTTTCACATACACAAATAAATGATAGGATCTCTCGGACTCCAAACAGTGTTTACCTTACACCACATTCTCGTGGTGCACATGCGTTTTGTGCCCCGCATTCAAAACCTATGGGATGCGTGCAAGAATTTATACTGGATTTAAAATGTCTTTTCTAGTTTCCGATTTCACTCCGGTAAATGCGTTTTGAGTTTATTTTTGAGGAACAGACATAAATAAGTATGTAATTTTTCATTTGTTTTTTCTGGTCATTATTAAAAAATTGACTGCGTGAACAAAGTTTTGTGAAACGCCACAATTATTAATTTTCATAAAAAAACTTCGTTCATTTATTTTTAGGTCGTTATATATTTATATGCTAATGGATATGTTTTTGCAACTTCACATGGCAAACATGTCGAGAAGTAACCTAATTTAATCACAGTGCCATGGCTCGCATCATATTTTGGATGGAGAACGGTAGTCAGATGTGAGGGGTAGCCACAAGGCATTTGGACCCTAATGAGCTCAAGTAATCAGCAGAAAACCGTTTGTATTCCTCCTTGAACCTATTATTAATATTTTGGTGCAAGAGAATAGGTCCATATGGGGATGAGGCCTACACTGAAAGCAGGGGTAAAAATGACATTGCCGAAATCATGAAGGTGTATGCCCCACAGCATTGTGACTGTGACTGTGACTCAACTGCGGTGTCGGGTTCACTCGTTCCTATCTTCAGCACACTTGCCTGTGCTGCCATCTGGCTGTTCGAATAACACACTGTTCTGTTGTAGGGTGGAGCGCGTTGAGGCAGGCCAGCCAGCTGACAGGGCAGGCCTCAGGCCTGGCGACTATGTCATCTTCGTCGAGAAGTGCAATGTTGTCACGATGCCTGAGGAAGAAATCCTGCATCTCATTCGCTCATGTGGGAACCATCTGACCCTGGAGGTGTACCGTCGGGTCAGTCCAAACGGCCTGGTAGGGGGAAGTACCACTGCACCGCCTTGCTCCTCCACAACCTCACTGGACCTCAGCAAGAGGAGGTTACATCTGCCTCAGGTCACGTTTAGTAGTGAGGTTGGTACAGGTGTTCTCGTCTGAAGCGCAGATGGCACTGAACAGGGTGTGGACAGCTTAGTTTCTCCTTTTACTTAAATCCAAACAACGGATAGCTCAGTTGGTATAGTGACTGGCTAATGGCTGAACGGCGGAGGGGTCGAATTCGAGCCCTGGTAGGGTCAAGAATTTCTCTTCTCCACGTTGGCAAGACCGGTTCTGGGGCCCACTCAGCCTCCTATCCATTGGGTTCCGGTGGCTTTTCCCCGGGGGTAAAGCGGCCAGGGCGTGAATCTGGCCACTTACCTCCAACTAGTACCGAGATCAAGGAATTGTGGATCTATACATCCATTTCCCCACACGCCTTCATGGTGTAGTCCTAAGTACAGGGGCAACTTTACCTTTTACTGAAACCATTAACAAGACATTTCGTTTAGGGATAACATTTTCATCTGCGTCAGATCACATTCATTAGTGAGGCTGGTACTAGGAATGCGTCGTGCATTTTAAAGTACTAGTGTTGTGCCTTGATAGGGGTCAGTGACTGTACTCACCCCCTATCGGACGTCCGTGGATATCTCTTAACCTATGCTGTGGAAAACATGCTTGCACTGGGGGAATCCACAAATAGTTCAAGTACTCACCAACAACAATAAAGTAATGTATAATAAAATAAAACACTAGTACATCAAACAACCTGGCTACACACACAGGGCCTTCGATTAAACCCCTGGTTTTAAACTCCTACCTTTCAACTACCCATAATATACTAACCCTAAATAACACAAATCAACACTTTGTATTTATTTCTCAAATAACCATTGAACCAAAAGCTCTAATCAGCAATCAGTGACCTGACCACGGGCAAGTACTCACTCGCGCTGAACAGGACACACAAGAAGAACACTGGCGCCATCCCAAGGTTTTCCACAGGCACTCTTGGATCTACTCGTCCGTGTCTCGCAACTGCTAGAAACGGAGTGCCTGAAACGACCTGTTTTTTTCCAATCCCAAAATTCAACTTTTTTTCCCAAGTCGCGAAAGCTGCGCGCGCGAAATCCCTGAGGTCGGCATCTTGCCGGACATGCCTTGTCGCGAAGAGCGAAACCTGACCGGGTCTTTCCACTGATACGTAAACAGTCTTCTCTAAAGGCAATTCGATCGACTGACAAGGAATGCGAAGAGGCAGCCGCGGCTCTGTCTCCTCGCCTTCCGGCCAGCCGTCCGGCGTTTTAACCTAAGCACACAATCTTACAAAAATTATACTTAATAACTAAGAAAATGGGCACAACACTGGAAACTGTAACGAATATTTCTGTCAGGAAGAGAAGCTCTTCTTCCTGTCCTGAGGCTCCAGGAACAAGTACCGCTATAATGGTCGTAATAAAACCACACGAGCGTCGCTCTAGCTCCAGCCCCCCTGGCCCCTCTGTAAACCAGCCCAAAGAGCGTGTTGCTGTGAAAGGTTTTCACTGTGAACAAAATGCTTTAGATCGCTGGAGGGAAATATAGGGGGAAACGTGACAGTTCGAGTGAAGGGATCCGTGGGTCTTCTCTCTGTGATCTCAGTATAGGGAACGTTATCACATAACATAACAGAATGTCTGGATGACTTGAGGCACGTACAGAGAAGTATGCTGAAGAGGGGGAAGCAAAACAGGTCGAGGAAGATGTGGAGGGCTTCATTGCACGATCTAAGAGCTAAAGAGAAAATAACACGGAGAGGGAAATAATTTGGTTGCATAATAAATTGACACAGGCCCGTAAAACTGCAAGCTAGAACGTTCGTTTGGCCCTCTACACAAATACGTGGTAGAGACATTAGGTTCGTGGACTGTGGTATTATCTCATAATATTACAAGGTATTCACATTCACTTATACAGATCCACATCGGCCCTCAAAATTGTCGCCGTTGGCCTCTATGCAAGTCTGCCAACGTTGATATAGCTGCCGAAAATATTGCTGAAATATATTGGCAGGAAATTGCCGTACGGCGTCTCTTGTGGCAGTGACCACCTCCTCGGACGACTGAAATCTACGACCATGTAGCTTTGCTTTCAAGCGGTGAAAGATAAAGAAATTGCACGGTGCGAGAACGGGTGAGTACGGATGGTGTGGCAAAACTGTGACCTGTTGCCTTGCCAGTTCCTCTTGGACAAGAACAGAGCGATGTGCAGGGGCGTTGTCGTGTAGCAACAGCCAATTCTTCCTGCGCCAAATGTTTTGCTAGGGGATTTGCCTACTTTCTGGCAGAACTTGATGTTTGCCCGTTGTTCAAACTGCCACATTTTCGATTTCCGCCACTTGCATTTAACTGCAGTTCACAATAGCTGCAGTAGTTCTGCGTCTTGCTGTGACAAGAGATGAACTGACAGGGCATCATATCGTACCCCAACCTATCCGCTGTAATGCACTGCAACGACGCTTTGCGACCAGTCCACGAACTTATTGACAATTGTAGTGAATCTCCCACTCAGACACACGCCAGAGGCGCACTGTTTTCTTGCTAAGAGTGGCAGGTGTGAGAACTATGACCAAATTTAAAAAAACCAGTGAAGTCGCCATTTTGTGAGACTTCGTGACACATGACTGTGGTAAGTGATACAGTGTTGTCTGGTAAATCATTGTCAGCATTTTGGATGGACTTGCAGCCACCGTCTTCAGGGGTAGTAGAGTGAAGTAGGCGGTATAATGAGAGGCGGAATGTGGACCAGCCTACTGAGCGGAGGAAGATGTGAACTTCTGTAGCCTGTTGCTGCACGCTCGGCTTACTCTTCTGCCCTGAAGGTGGAGAAAACAGTAGTTTCCCTCAAAATGATTGCAAAGATCTGCCAGATTACACGGCATCACACCCCCAGAATACCTTAATTTTCTTATGACAGTTCTCTGTTCCTGTTTTTAGAATCAGTTGTTTCCTATCAGTTTTTTGTTTATGATTCAGGTAGAATGATGTCTAGACGGAATTAACTTCTGAAAATAAATTTGGCCTGCTCGAAGATATAAAGGACCCCCAGTTCATGGGGTAGATGAGCCCCAGGAAGCCAGATTTTGCCTCGCATGACCGTACCAGAATATTATCAATAATTGCAGAATAGACAGGATACACAGAAACAAGAAACTGTTCGCTCGCTCGTGACCTACTGCGTAACTGTTATACTACTGCGATGTGTAAAGTCCCGACATGTCCACCATTGCGAACGGAGTAATGACAACTTTCGGACGACAGAATCTGTGTGTGTGTGTGTGTGTGTGTGTGTAAGCGTGGGGGACTCTCGCACTGTGACCTTGATCAGTGTTGCCCCGGCGGCCTGGTCGATAACGAGGTCATGAGGGCAGCAGAGCGGGCTTCATCTTACGCTTTGCATCAGATGCGCTCCCTCACACAGTAACCATTGCTTTATGGGGTCTTGTTCCGGTTCGTTGGGCACAGTCCCACCAGAAAACTTGACAGCCGAGTTTCTACGCCCTCCACGGATCACAATGTTCCGTACTGACAATCGGTCTCCACTGGCCCCTGTCCCCAAACTGTTGAATCCAGTTCAAAACCACCACACCTCTTTAATATTATCCTTCCGTCGGTACATCACCTTTACAACACACTTTTAATAGAGGTTATGTATGGACATTTTCAAAGTTTAGCCGAATATATACCAATAAATTATTTAAGCAGACATTTTTGTACTTTGAAAGTGTGTATATATTTTTGGGTTCACCTCGTGCCAGTGGGAGAATCCCAGGGTAACTGTTGACTTTCATTTTGACCTGATGACAAAACCAGAGTGTGTGGTTTTACTGCCCACTGTTTACTTCTATCATGCGTGGATCTATATGGATTTAATTTTGAAAATTGTAACGAAATCATAAACACCCCGTACTAACGAAGTTTCATGTTCGTTCTGTCTGTTGAGTCGTCATCGTAGCGCAATGAGCCAAATAGATCTCTCAGTACCGTAATTTTCGCAGTATATATTCACTGTACGGGTTTCAAAACAGAACGAACCCTCGTGCTGTGACAGTATCACGAAACTTGTGAGAACCTTTCGCGGTTTATACATATCGTCAAGCAATATTAAGATAATACAATTTAAACGGAATTTAAATTTAAAAGGAATGGGTACAGAATTTTGATAGTGAAGCGTCTTGAGAAATGCCAACTAGGAAAATCAGGAAGGGAGAATGAACCATAGAGAAATAGGAATTGGGGATGGGAGATTATGACCCGGGATTAATTTTGTGTCCAATGGCAATGTTTGTTACTTCTGGGTTTGAAAATTCCAGTTCTGCTACCGATGTATTACAAGCCCAGTTTCAATTGAATATCTGAAATCAATTTAGTTTGTAGTATAAAATTCACTCTGTTATGAAAATTATCGTAGTCTTAATATCACTATTGTTCGGAATTTTCTATTTTTTGTACTACTTTGACCACTTCTGCTAAAAAAACAATTTTATCATCTTACACAAATCAAATCAAATCAAATCTAATCTGATGTGCATATATGTATGTCTGCTCTAACAGAGATCATATTCACTTAATATCCGATAGATGATAATAATTGGAGCCGGGATAGCGACTGGCTACACGCTGGAAGACAGAGGGGTCGGAGTTCGAGTCCTGGTAGGTGTAAGAATTTTCTCTTGTTCATAGCGTCCAGACCGGCTCTGGGGTCCACTCAGCCTCCTATCTAATGGGTACTGGGGGCTCTTTCCCCGGGGCTAAAGCGGCCGGGGCGTGAAGCTCACCACTAACCTCCAACCAGTGCCAAGGTCAAGAAAATGTGGATCTATACATCCACTCCCCCATACACCTTTATGATGGTGTAGCGCTTAATTAGTTAAGCACACGGACAGCTTTACCTTTACCTTTCCGATGATGATATCAGACGAACTCAGAGCACAATTCGATAGCACATGTTCATGATTTTAGATGTGTCATATAAAAACCAGTTCGATTATACTGTCACGTGTCCGGGGTTGCGTTACTAATAATAAGGGGTTCTGGATTGAATGATTGGATTCA